CTTTCCCTTTCCCTTTCCCTTTCTTTTTCTTTTTCTTTTTCTTTTTCTTTTTCTTTTCTTTTTCTTTTTCTTTTTCTTTTTCTTTTTCTTTTGTTTTTTCCACCGATAGCGCGGGCAGCTCACGAGAAGGAGGCGATTAGAGGGTTGGTGGGCGCCGTTTCGGTGCCGCCCGGCTCCTCCGGCCGCCGCGAGCTGCGGAGCCCCGCGCAGGGCCGCGCGGCGGGGCCGCCCCGTCGGGGAGCACGAAGCTCCAGGCGCTTCTTGCGCCTTCCCCACGCGCGGGGCGCGCAGCCCGGCCTCGGCAGAGGAGAAAGGGCGAGATGTGGCCGCGGGAAGGACGCAGAGGTGACGGGCTCCGGCCGCTCTCTCCCGCGGACTGTGCGTGGGCACCCGGCGCTGCCCGGGGTGCCAGGGGAAGGACGGGGTGGCTCCGGTCCGGTCCAAGGCCATCCTGCTTGAAGCCCAAGCGGGGTTAAGTTGCAAACTGATCTCGTGGAACTGCCCTCTCTGCCGCTCCGCATTCCCTGGGCTGATCAATGCGGATCCAGCACCTAAGGCGCGCATCCAAAGGCGGAGGCGCTCGTCTTCTGTGGCTAGCGTGATGGAAGAGGAGTGGGAGACATTCAGAGAAAGCCTTATTTTTTCAAGTTTGGATTTTTTTGAACAAACGCACTTAATTCCGTTAATTTAGTTTTTGATTCGATGAACAAGAGGTGCCCTATCTGTTTTTATTTTATTTTTATTTATTTTTCCCCGAGCGATCGTTGCCTGGGCTTGACTTTAGCTCCAGGATGTCAGTGGGGACGAAGCTCAGCTGCTCTCGCCGCTTTTACAGACCGCCAAGGCCGAAGAGCCCCTCGCAACGCGCCGCCAAGGCAAAACCTCCACGCCTGGCGCGGTGGGACGGGGAGTGGGGAGGCTCCTGGCCTGGCAGAGCCTGGCACAGGTTCCCTGGGGCCATCCCATAGGATTTCTGCAGCGCTTCAGCCTCTCCTCAGCGAGATCCCGCACAGCCGGGATCTCTCCTGCTTCCGGCCAAGCGAGGAACCCGCAGGCACAAACAGGGATCTGCCTGAATCCGCTTGGCTCCCGAGCGGATCCTCCTCCCGCCCTCGCCGCTGGCTGATCCCAGACAGCCAAGGGACGCCTGGAATGGAACCGCCCGGGAGCTTCCCTGAGATTTCTCCTCGCCTCGGCGCCTTTCCTCGCGCGGGTCTTTTTAGGGAGCAAACTTCTAAGTCAGGACCGGCTGCTCAGGTGTAAGGTGCGATGCTGATCGCAGGAGCTTCCTCGGCTTTGAAAATATTTAGTATCTTCTCGGTGCATTTTGGTGACTGGAGGGAATAAGAGCGAGGAGGGGACAGGTCCAGGTGCGTGGCTGGGCAGTTGGCGGGCTAGGCAGGCGGGCAGAGGGACCCGCAGGGCGGGCAGAAGCCCGTCGGGGCCGGGCAAAGGCGTCCCTGAGCAGGGACTTTGGCCACGAGCGGAGGCCGGAGCGGAGGCCGGAGCGCGCGCCCCGTCGGCGCCCACGGGCGGCCCCCGCGGTCTGTTCCGCTCGAGAGGAGCCGAAGCGTTTAGGGCACAAAGGGCATTGTGCTCCGCGAGGGAGCCATTACATATGGCCCATACATACCGGAGATTGTCTCGCCGCGTAATGAGGGGCTCACGATCATTAGATTGCCCTTTGTTCGCCGCAGCCGACTCCCTGACATACGCTGCCTCCTCTGCAAACGCCAACAGATGGGTCCCCCCCCCCGCCCCATGCACCCCCCACGGACGGCTCGCGGCAGCAGCTGCTATCCCCCCCCCCCCAACGCTCCCTCCTTCCCCACAGCCCCCGCCCGTGAGGACGGAGCTGGGGGGCGCCCCACGGACGGCGGCGGGAGGTGTGGGGGGGCCGCGCGGGGCGCCGGCCGTCGGGGCGCCGCTCACGGTCCGCTGCGCTTCCCCCCGCAGGCGAGGAGCGCTACATCTGCTGGTACTGCTGGAGGACCTTCAAGTATCCCAACAGCCTCAAGGCCCACGTGCACTTCCACTGCGCCCTGAGCCACGGCCGCGCCTTCCTGCACCACGAGCACGGCCGCCCCGTCGAGGCCTTCGCGCTC